AATAATAATAATAATAATAATAATAACAATAACAATGATACTAATTATAATAATAATATCAATAATTATAATAATTATATTAGTAACAATAATATAAAAATAATAACAAATAATAATAATACGAAGAAGAAGAAGAAGAAGAAGAAGAAGAAGAAGAAGAAGAAGAAGAAGAAGAAGAAGAAGAAGAAGAAGAAGAAGAAAAAGAAGAAGAAGAAGAAGAAGAAGAAGAAGAAGAAGAAGAAGAACTACAACAACAACAACAACAACAACAACAACAACAATAATAATAATAATAATAATAATAATAATAATAATAATAATAATAATAATAACAGCAACAGCAGCAGCAGCAGCAAAACACTTCTTATACTCACTCCTTCAGTAACATTAATTATTATTATTTTTTTTGCAGCTTGGAAAAGAACCGCCGGAGAACTCGAAGTAACGACCGACACACACGCAAACACACACGTGCTGTACACAAGTAAGTGATGGATTCCAAGATCCTGACACTTCTGGGCATCGGCTTGTTGTCCGTGGCGGTGTTGGTCCACGTCATCTGCCTGTCGATGCCTCACTACGCCTCGGTCAACATCGGAGAGACGATTGTCTCTGGCATGGCCAAGTTCGGCGAACAGAAGAGGGCATCATTTCCTGGCAAAAGGGGCTGGGAGGATGGTGAGTTTGTTTGTTTGTTTGATTGATTGTTTTTTGTTTTGTTTGTTTGTTTATTTTGTTTGTGAGTTTGTTTGTTTTTTAAAATTTTATTTATTTATTTGTTATATATGTCATGTGTATGAGTGTGTGTGTGTGTGTGTGTGTGTGTGTGTGTGTGTGTGTGTGTGTGTGTATATATGTGTGTGTTTGTGTGTGTGTGTGTGTGTGTGTGTATGTGTGTGTGTGTGTGTGTTCCTTTTTTCTTTTCCTTGCATGTCATTTATTGTTTCCCTGTGGTCTGTGAACTACGTCGACGAATGTTTTTGATGGTGTCAAGAAGGGGTTGCTTACAAATAAACTGGTTTGACTCATCCTATCTCTGGGGGAGTTGGCGGGTGCTCTGGTGTGGTTTGTTCCTTCTTTCCTAATAACATCTTTCGTCCTTATATCTCTCAACCTTCTTTTCTATATGTCACTCTCTAGAAAGACGTAGCTATAATCTTTGAGACTTATGACCTAATTGTGTCGCAAGTGCCGTAGCATGAAGAAAAAATGAAAACTATAAACTAAACCACATTTCTGTGTTCACAGTTCCATTCGACAGACAGTCGCTCTCCGTAGACCAACCTAGAAGAGGAGTCCGCGATTCTGGTAAGCTGTCTTACGTTACTTCCCCCTGTGGACAACCACTGTACGTTGCTGTTTGGCCAAGTTAAAACTACCTGGTGTTTAAATTTCAAATAAAAGGGACCTATTTTAAGGGCAAAAACTCGGCCATCGTTTTGCTATTTCCGCAAAACTTTGAACTCATTGAACTCACCGAGGAGGACGTCCGAAAAATTATTATGAAGAAAATCATCCTACACAGTAGAAAAAATATCAAGCTTTTAAAATTTCAATCAAAACTAAGAGGAACGCAAAACTTTGCAACTTAAAAAATACGCCATGTTGTTCTTGTTCTTGTAGTCACTAGATCTATTTGTGCATTGACAAATAAATGTATTCAAACTTGGTATTGCTAAATAAGTCGAAAGTAGTGAAGCTAGGAAAAGTGTCAATCCCTGCTGTGACAGTGGAAGACACTCCCGTAGAAAAAAATTGTGAAATGGTATGGGTTTTACGCCCCTATCAACACTATTAGGCTCCCCTAGAAGAAGTGGACTACTTTATCTACCTTGGAAGTGTCATCGATGGTAAAGGTGGAACTGAGGCGGATGTAAAAGCTAGAACCGCCAAGGCAAGGTCAGCATTCAAGCAATTATGAAAAGTCTGGAAAGCGAGCAACATCTCACAGCACACCAAGATTCGACTCTTTAATTCCAATGTCAAATCTGTGCTCCTATACGGCTGCGAAACTTGGAAGACAGCAAAGACAGTGCTGCTGAATAAAGTCCAGACTTTCTTCAACAGATGTATGAGGAGTATCTTAGAATTAAGTTGCAGGATATATTAAGAAATGAATAGCTGTGGGAAAGGACAGGACAAAAGTTTATTGAAGTAGAAATAGGACTAAGAAAGTGGCGTTGGAGGGGACACACCTTCAGAAAGCCCAGCGGAAACATCACAAGACAGTCTCTGCAATGGAACCCACAGGGAGCACGAGGCAGGGGTAGGCCTCGGGAAACCTGGAGGAGGTGTGTGGAAAGGGACCTGAGAGAGATGAAGCTCACTTGGAACGAGCTAGGAAGGTTGGCCCAAGACAGAGATAAATGGAAGGAGTTTGTTTGTGGCCTGCCACCCCTGCCAGGAGTGGAAGGCATTGATGATTGATGATGATTGCCAAAATAAGCTCGATAAAGTGGTGGCTATAATTAAAAATTCATGCTCCAGGTGTTGACAATATTTCTCCTTAGTTTAGTTGTAGTAGAAGTTTTACTGCGTTCGCAACTGAATAAGGTCATATGAGCACTAAGGGGATGATGTCAACAGAGAAGTCCTTGCAGGGAATCAGGCTTACTCTGCTCACCTCTCCAGCTTCAACAGCAATAAGTCTGCTTCGCCTATCAAGGCACCCCGGAAATATCGGGTCACAAGTGTGTGAAGAACATACAAAAGAAGTAGAGGAAAAGTAACGATAGTAAGGATAAGAGGAAAGACAAAGAAGGAATTCCCTGTTGCAGTTCAAGTAACGATGAGCTTGACATTGACGAATCAGCCCATTTGCAATTCTACTGTGCATAAGAACACGTTAATGTCCCCTCTTAATTTGGGAATGGCCTCAAGACACTTCAGTCCTCAGTCAGTAGCACCGCCACGGGGGGTAGGCCTACTATTTCTCCATATGAGCTCCAATACGCCACTGGAAGTTTTGAGATCCCTGTGGCACGTTGATGAGTCTTTCTTTGGACTTCCTGTGGGGGTGTTTTCGTAGAATCTCTGTCTGTCCAAAAATATCTCAAAGGTAATGCATGTAAATGAAAGGGTCCAAGTCGGGGGTATGCGATGACCCTTCATTTGTAAATGTTCATTTTTTAAGGCGTTCCCCAAACCTTTCTTTTAAAGGAAGGAAGTTTATTCAGTGTTTAAGGCCATTGACCCACATCATTTCTTATAAAACACTCGTTTGTTTAAAAAAGTTTCCATTGAAAAAGTACAAGTCTCTTATCATGGGTCAAACATTGCATATTTCTGTCGCTGGGTCGAGTCAGGCTGGGAGGAATTTACATTTTCCCTTGATGGACAACATTTGGACAATAGAAAATAAAGTGAAATTCATCTTCAATTTCGTGAGAATTACACCTCTCACATATCCAAAGCTTTCTTGCAACCATGTAAGGGCCACTCTTGACGTGTGGATTGTGGCCCCATCTTGCTGGAACCACGAGGTCTCCCCAGCAGCATTCTTGTTTCACTTTCTTCTCCTCAAACTTTGCCTGAACTTTGTCAGCTCGGTGAGTTGTCCATCTGGCGTGACTGTCGTGATTTTACAGACTTCGTTCTGAAACCAGAACGGGCCGATCAGGCCTCTTGAAAAAAAAAGTTAAAATGGTAAAGGTTTAACACCCAATCAACACAATTATGTTGTTTCGAAGTTTTGTTGAATTAGTACAAAGATAACCGAGTTGTTGCCCTTTAAGTGGATCTTCTTTTTTTAAAAGACTCTGTATGAGTCGAGCTCCTGTTCGGTTTTTTTGTGTTTTTGTGTTTTTGTGTTTGTTTTTTTGTAAGTGTTTGACGGCGCTCGCAACTGCGAAAGGTCACATGAACGCGCGGGACACCCCACACATTTTCAGTTGGAAGGACATTTTGAATTTTGCTCGGGTGGCGGCCGAAGCTTACTCTTATCGATTCTAGATCACCAAGGGATCTTTAACGTGCGCAACTTGCACACGGGACCTCCGAGATTTTTCATCTTGTCGGAGAAGGCAAGGTGTAAATCTTTCCTACCAGAAGATCAGGGGTGGGGCAGAAAGACAGCAGTAAGAAGGAACCAAGGAGTAGAAAGGCTGCAGAAAGAGTTAGGAGCTCAGAGGAGGGGGCAAAGGAGGTGAGTAGGTGGGGGCAGAAAGTTGAGACGAAAGCAGACGACAGAACCTTGCTAGTGAGCAGGAAAGTAGGTGAGAGGAGACAATTTTAGAGAAGAAAAATTTTCGGTTGCTACCCGGATTTGAACCCGGGACATTTGAATGAGAGGCGAACACCTTAAACTCTAGGCCACGAGAGCCCCCAGCTCCTGTTTTAAACAGATATTAGAACATCTTTTACAAATAACCTCTATGGGATAAGACCATTTTTTGACAAACGTTCGTGGTAGAGCTTTGTTTTACGATTATATTGATACAAAGTCAGTTTTGATCAAAATTGCAGAAAGACCATTCTTATTCTTAAAGGCACATTTCACAAAGTCTTTGGCTGGGATCGAAGGACATGAAACTGCAGTAAAGAAATAGAAAGCTTTATTGTCATATATCACACTTTTTGCCCTTATTTAATGTCCCTTCCCTTTGTCTCCCCACCACGTTTCTCTTTCAACCTCTCCTCACTCTTTCCCTCTCCCGATTCTCTCTCTCTCTCTCTCTCTCTCTCTCTCTCTCTCTCTCTCTCTCTCTCCCTCTCTCTCCCTCTCTCTCTTTCTCCCTCTTTCCCTGTCTCATCCCTTCCCCTTATCTCAATTCTCTCTCTCTCTCTTTCTCTCTCTCTCTCTCTCTCTCTCTCTCTCTCTCTCTCTTTCTCTCTCTCTTTCTCTATCTCCCCCCCCCCCTTTCTCTCTCGTCCACCTCACCCTCCATGTTCGCTATATTTTTATTTTTTAAAATTCTTAATGCATTCATAAAACTGTCTATTCTCAGGTCAGAGTTGGGCTCAAAACGTCTTTGAAAAACTGGCCAAAAACCCAAGTGAACGTAAGTTAATAAGAGTATTGATGTATACACACCAACACTCACCTGACTTCCCGACATAAACACACCTACAATCATCCGTACTTTTGTGTCACTACACGACATACACACCTACTCTCACGTGTGTCACTTCATTTTATAATATATATTATTAGTTTTAGTAGAGGTTTTACGACGCTCGCAACTGCATAAGGTCATATGAGCGCCAAGGGGTGTATGTCAACAGAGAAGTCCTCACAGGGAATCAGACTTACTCTGCTCACCTCTCTAGCTTCAACAGCACAAAGTCTGCCCCGGAAATAGCCGGTCACAAAGAGTGTGACAAACATACAAAAGAAATAGAGGAAAATGACGATAGTAAGGATTGGGAAAGAAAAAGCATCAGTTCCCTGTTGTAGTTCAGGCTCAGTTATGAGCATGACATTGCAAGATCAGCCCATTTACAATTCTACAGTGCATTAGAACGAGAAATGTACCCCCTTTGGGAATGGCCTAGACACTTCAGTCAGTGGCACCACCCCGAGGGTTCATATATATATATATATATATATATATATATATATATATATATATCATGTTAACATGTGGAATAGCATGAGATCAACAATTTATAATTCTGCGTCGATTACTTCTAAAATAGAAAGACCTTGAGAAAAAGCGTAAAATCCTGATAGAACACAACACAATTCCAACAGAGAGTACAAAGCAACAACTACGTGCCGCTAAATCCAAACTTCAAAGAGAAACCAGAAAGTGTGCCAATTAGTACTGGGACAAGTTATACCCAGAAATCCAACAGGCCAGCGATACAGGTAATATCAGGAAAATGTATGAAAACATCAGAGTTGCTATTGGACCAATAGCAAACAAAGTGGCACCTCTAAAGTCTGCGACAGGCGAACAGCTGACAGACAAAGAAGAAATACATGGAAAGATGGGTGGAACATTATTCAGACTTATTTTCAAAGGAACGACATGTTGATAGACAGCTGCATGAGGCCTTTCCTCAGCTCTCCGAAATGTCAGAACTTGATACAACACCAACAGAAGAAGAACTCTCCTCTGCAACCGATGAACTCGCTTGCAGAAGAGCAGCATGAAATGACAACATACCCTCTGAAGTACTGAAAGAGAACAAAGAGACCCTCCTCCCATATCTCTACAAGCTACTAACGACTTGTTGGCAGAAAGCAGAAATTCCACATGACATGAGAGATGCCAAAATTATCACACTCTACAAAAACAAAGGGGACAAAGGAGATTGCAACAACTACAGAGGTATCTCACTGCTAAGCATCACTGGAAAAGCTTTCGCTAGGATCATCCTAAAGCGACTTCAGAAACTAGCAGAAAGAGTCCTACCAGAGAGCCAATGCGGTTTCAGATCAAACCGCTCAACAATGGACATGATCTTTTCTATTCGTCGGCTACAAGAAAAATGCAGGGAGCAACAACTGCCATTAATTACATACTGCGTTCGTCGATCTGACAAAGGCTTTTGATACAGTCTGTAGATCAGGACTGTACATGGTGCTTGGAAAAATTGGTTGTCCCCCAATACTGCTACAGCTCATCATCTCATTCCACGAAGATATGAAGGCCACCATTCAGATTGACGGTTCAACATCAAACAGTTTCAACATCAATAGCGGAGTAAAGCAAGGTTGTGTCCTAGCACCAACCCTTTTTAGCATTTATTTTGCTGTCTTACTGCAACACGCATTTAAAGAGTCACTAGGGGATGTTTTCCTCCACTGGAGAACTGATGGGTCGCTCTTCAATCTTGCTCGACTCAAGGCCAAGACCAAGATCAACAAAACAACAGTACGAGACCTTCTCTTCGCCGATGATGCTGCTCTTGTTGCTCATAGTGAATCAACCCTACAAACAATGATGGTCCGCCTATCAACAGCATGCAAGGTCTTTAGCTTGGTCATCAGTGTTAAGAAAACAGTCATCCTTACCCAAGAAGGTGCAGAGCAGAGCCATATATGGCTGAACGACAAGGAACTTGGGACAGTGGACAAATTCTGTTACCTGGGGTCTACCATCAGCTCTACTACATCACTTGATTATGAGATCAACACCAGGATGGGGAAAGCAGCAACAACTTTTGGAAGGCTGACAAAACGAGCATGGGAAAACAAAAGATTAACCATCAAAACAAAGATCAAAATTTACGAAGCATGTGTCCTCAGTACACTCCTTTATGGATCTGAAACATGGACCTTGTACAGCAGACAAGAAAAGCGCCTCGACATTTTCCATCTCAGATGCTGCCGCAAGATCTTATTCTTAGGCATTTCGTGGCGTGACAAGGTTACAAATGTTGAAGTGTTGGCACGCGCAAACCTCCAGAGCATGACAACTAACATGTGTTTAAAAAGATTGCAGTGGCTGGGCCATGTCAAGAGAATGGACGACAACCGGATTCCGAAGCAACTTCTGTGAGAACTTGCCTAGGGTAAGAGACCAAGAGGAAGACCAAAATTGAGGTACAAAGACACCTGCAAAAACAGCTTATCTAAGCTTGGAGTAGATGTTAGCATCTGGGAAGAAATAGCTGAAGACAGGAAAACATGGAGGAAAATGATAAAGGAACGAACTATAATGCTAGTATTGCTAGAGAGCAGCTTTAGAAACAACCTGGTTGAGAAGCGCCAACGACGAAAGGACAACAGCGGAAAAAACATAGCTTCGATCTACGTCACTGATATGCAAACACTGCGACAGAATCTGCGCTTCAAACATACGAAGAATTAGCCATGAAAGAAGCTGCATGAAGAAAACCTTGAGACCATCTTAAGCTAAGCTAAATTGACCGTCTGCATAGACGAAAAGAGCCATATTATAATATCTATCTATCTATCTATCTATCTATCTATCTATCTATCTATCTATCTATCTATCTATCTATCTATCTATCTATCTATCTATCTATCTATCTATCTATCTATCTATCTATATATATATATATATATATATATATATATATATATATATATATATATAATGTTAACGGGCCTTTGTCCTTTAAAAAATCCCTGTTGTTACCGGATCCCTGTTATTACCGGGCCTGGTATAATATATGGTTTCCACTGTAACAGTACCTAGGTGGCATGGATCTGCTGAAAATAAAAAGAGGTCAAAAGCTAGGGTCATCCACAGTGGGAGACTGATGCAAGTGAGCACTCCTGAGAATGCGGCAGCTGTGATGGAGTCGGAATAACCTAAAGTCAGTTCGTCGTCATAGTATTGAATTAACTATCGCTAGGGAATCTGTTCAGCGCATGTTGACGTACAATCCGAAGTTTAAATCGTACAAGAACCGGGTAAGCCTTCTTCATTTTAAAGGCTCAGCAAATGGAAAAATATCATAGTTCATAGACAATTTCTTTCAAGCGCCCCAGAGCGTGTATCGCCCTCCCAACGGACGTCACATGGAACTTGTTAATTTGTCACAATTAATCCGAATGGTGACCAAGTAGGTCTGAAATCTTGTTTTCTTTTAGTAGAAGGTTTTACGGCGCTCGCAACTGCATAAGGTCATATGAGCGCCTAGGGGTGGATGTCATCAGAGAAGTCTTTACAGGGAATCAGACTTATTCTGCTCACCTCTCTAGCTTAAACAGTACAAGGTCTGCTTCAACTATCAAGGCACCCCGGAAATAGCAGGTCACAAGAGAGGGACAAACATACAAAAGAAGTAGAGGCAAATGACAATAGTAAGGGTTGGGAAAGAAAAAGCAGCAGTGCCCTGTTGTAGATCAGGATCAGGTACAGTTAGGCTATATATGCGTGACATGAATCAGCCCATGTACAATTCTGCTGTGCTTGAACGAGAAATGTCCCCCCTTTGAGAATGGCCTAGAGACTTGTGTTTATTATCTATATAAATATAGATGATATAAATATATAATATTATATATTCTATCCATCTATCTATCTATCTATCTATCTATCTATCTATCTACAATGTAGAATCTGTCTGTCTGTCTGTCTGTCTGTCTGTCTGTCTGTCTGTCTGTCTGTCTGTCTGTCTGTATAATTTATCTCATATAGTCGCCTGATTATTATTATTATTTTAAAAAAAATATGCATGTAACACATATAATTTATACAAACCTCCATTCACCTCTAGATCTATGAGGGCACGCGGTCGTTACTATGGGCATAGATCCGTTTCATTGTAATCTGAATGTACCGTCCCCCTTCTCTCCCGCTCACACTTTTGCTCCTGTGCTTGTGGTGTAGCAGTAGGCCTAGGCCCCTTATGTCGTACGCAGGAGACCCGGGTGGGGAGAATTGCAATCAAGTACTTCCGTCTTTCTGCTATGATGTTGTATCCTTCTCAGCTAGGGTTGGGTAAAAATGTGGTCAGAAGTCCGTCTCCTCAATGATCTAAATTGTGTTGAAGAGGAAGGGGGGGGGGGCGTAAAAACACCTACATTGAATTGTTGTAGTAGTTGTTGTTATTGTTTTTGTTGTTGCTGGTTGTTGTTGCTGGTTGTTGTTGCTGGTTGCTGTTGTTGCTGGTGGTCGTCGTCGTCGTCTTCTTCTTCTTCTTCTTCTTCTTCTTCTTCTTCTTCTTCTTCTTCTTCTTCTAGACTTTGGTTCTCGGATCTTTCTTCTGTAATAAAACTCTCTGTCTTTAGTTTAAACACTCTGTCTCTTGCCATTCTGCCTGCCTCTGTTGTTTTGGTTCCAGACAAGTGCTGTTCCCATAGATCTCCTGTTGGGTCTACTACTCTACCCCTGAATTATCTGTGCTGTGCGATCTCACGGAGTTATAAAATTATATATATATATATATATATATATATATATATATATATATATATATATATATATATATATATCTGGCGGGCAAAAGAAAGTGGGCAGTTTTCAAATTGGTGCTGTATGAGTCGTCTCGCGAATTTTGACTTGGCGATTGACATGCTGAGCTTGAGTCACTTTAAAAAGTCGGTCAAAACAACATTTGTTTATTTTGTTGTTATAAA